CAAATTTCTGATAGCAGCAAAGTCATAAACTTGTTCAGAGAACATAACCAAGCTCACGGCAGCTTCATTCATCTCATGTTCCTCAATCTCAGTCATAGAAGAAGAAGACAATGAAAATGAAAATCCAAAGGTATCTGATTCGCTAGAGATCTCAAGACCCAAAATCCTTAGCAAACACTGAATCTCATTCTCATCTACCATTCTATTGCTTTGACCAGAATGAATCTTCTGGTGACGAAGCAGAGATTTTGATGTTGCCAACTTTTTCCCACATATTTTGCAAACATTCCCAGACGATGAATGGATCCTCAAGTGACCACTCACAGCTTTTACGGTTGCGAATTGTTTTCCGCAAATTTTGCAAACATGGAGTCTCTGAGACATCCTTAGACTCAGAAGCTTAAAGCCACTCTTAGGGATTTCGTTTCGCCACCACCACCACGATGGAAATTTCTCTGCTTTTAAACCTGTTCATCATTCAAACAAAACCAAGTAAAGTAAACCCCACAAGAATCAAACCCAGCAAAAACAACATTCTCGGAAATTCTCAGGATTTCTCTAGAAAAAAGGTCCGAGCTTTTAATTCCCGTTTACTTTTCTCGAGAAAAACTGAAGAAATTAGGAGAAAGACAGAGGTTGATCAGCTTACCAGAGCAAAACCCACTCTTGATTTTCACTACTCAGGACCTGAATCTCAAAGCTTAAAACCCTAATCACCACATTACACTTTTCGAAGAATCTGGACTCTCTCTCTCTCCATCACCTTTTTACTCACAGACACAGAAGAAACAAAATTTACTTGTTGTGGAAGCTATAAGGGCTATTTGCACCAGTGGGTGGGTAGTTCTCTCCTACACGCGCGTCTACAGTAACATCCTACACTAATCTCTAAAATCAACATATGAATTGGTCCAGAGGTGTTAAATTTTTATGAATGAGATCAAAATAAATAGTTGGATAATAAACAATACAAACTCTACTGATTTTATCAACAACAGTCATTTTTTCTCTCTTTTTGCACACATTCTATGAGTTTTTTCTTCTGATCAAACCAAATCCAAAATCAGAGAAACTGAAAAATGCAATTTAAGTCATCATCTTCTTCTTCTTCTGTTGATCCACATGTCTGGATTAGTCTTTTAGTTAATATCCACTTGAGGGACTTTACCACCAGCTTGAACGATTTGTTTCTCAAGCTGCAACAACAACAACAAAGACATTAAATTTTCTTCATTGGTCATCAAAATGATGATTCAAAAAAGCAGCTGAAACAGAACCGGGTCAATTCGCAACTTAGTCACTCACATTGAACATATCTTGGAGCTTTGTCTTTAGCGTCTTGTACTCGATATCCACTTGCTGCAGACATCTCACACACCTGTACCCGAATTCGACGAATGAGTTCCAAACAAACAAACATTACACTTGTTCATCCATACAAGAATCCAAAAGAAACCGATAACTCCTCAACACTCACCCTTCGTAGTTCTGAGTGTCGCAAAATTCCTTGAAGGTAACACACAAGCCTTTGACCCTCTTGGCACCAACACTGCATAGAAACAAGAGACAGAGAGATCTTCATCTAATAACCAAACAAGTTCTACTTCTGCTACTAAAGATTAGGACAAAAATGCGAGACACGAAACATACCTTGAGCTACTACCCTTCAATTGATGCACACTCGCACCTACAATACTAAAATCTACAGTACCAGTCTGGTCCCTGAAATAGATGTAGCACTTATAATACGCCTTTGAGAAGGTTAAGTGAAACAACAACACAAGCAAATGATATGAACAGTGAGATACTTGGGGAGTTGAGAGAAAAATCTAGAAAAAACTTACAGAGCTCTAGCCATGTTACCAATAAGCCTAACACAATCTTCGAAGAAAAGAGAGAGAACCTCAGCCACGAAATCAGATCCATCATCTTGCATCTTTTTTAACTCAGTAAACTGATCATCCAGAATCCCCTTCACACACAAAAAACAAGCAAACACAACGAATCTCAAAGTTGACACCTTTAAACGATAGAAAAAAACCCATCACAATTACGAGCCCTCGAATCTCAAAGTTCACACCTTTAAACGATAGGAAAAAAGACCCATCACAATCACAACCCTCAAAACTGTGTTAAGACTAAACGATCACACAAGTCGAATCCCTAAGTCATAACAGAGTCCAATCTAAAGATTCACACTTTCTTCACTCTAATCGCGAATCTAGAGTCGATAGATTCTAAATCATCGATGATCTGTATATCTAAGGACATGAATCGAATAAAAATGAAATGGGTTTCGAGAATCAGTGAGAAAGAAACCTGTTGGTAGAGAGAAATGGTGTAATCACGATATTGCCTCTGTAACTGAGCAACGATAGCGTCCATGGCGGAGAGTGAAACGGAGATCGAGAGAGAAGAGGAATTGATGTGTCTTCTTCTTTCTTTGGACTGATTTTGACTTGAATTTCTGCAATTAACCAATCCCAAGGAGAAAACTTTTGTCTTCTCTATTTATCAAAAAAAAAAACAACTTTTGTCTTCTCTCTCACCAGTTAAAACGCTGCATCTCAACACTTAAAACATTAAATGAAAATTAAAAAGAAAACCAGAAAACACACCATTATTTGGACATATATCTATTAAAAAAAACAAAAAATCTAAATCCATCTAAAAAGAAGCTTTTAC